ATTTTCTGGATTCTCATTTGAATAGCAAAGGCTATAATCAGACAGAATCGTTCGCTTCAATTTCAAGTAGCTTGTATATTTGTACATAGCTGACATTCGAGCTAAAATAACCTACGGCAATAACACAAATGACAAATAATTTATTCGCAATGTTACACGTTTTTATCTAACCCCATTTGGCAGATAGTCTGGCGAAAGTTTTTAATCGGTTCATGCCCACATAACTTTTTTTTAATAATTGAATATCACGATTCTGTTGACAGGATTACTATTGTCAATCGGCAATTATTGTCTATGTCCCCGAGGTAAAAAAATACTTTCATTTTTAATGAATAAAAATAAAAAAACAATGAAATTAGCATACCAGAATACAACAAGAGCACAAAAGTTGCTGCAGTTAAACTTGATAAAATATTTTCCATTTTTTCTTAGATATACATTATACAGAACCACCATATGGAACATGATGATAAAAAACAAAGTCCAATCAAATGGCTACAAATATTAAGTGAATAGTTATTATTCATTTATTTAATTTTAACGGAATTCATAAAGTGTTTGCACGTTAATTTGTTGCAGAAATTAACCGTGATTGATACATTAACGGGGTTAACGGATAAGGGTTTGTTTGCAGTACTATTAGCCTTATTATTGTTCGATATCCTTATTATCAAGTTCGATAAAATCCGTTCTATGGCACGGTCCAAGGTCCATTTAACCGGTACTGCAAGTGCAAAGAACTACCATTGTGATTAAAAACAAGTAAAAAAGCTGTAAGCTCGGCAGGGCCTTTGAATACCATCCACCATTTGGAACGAATTTGGCAATTTTCAAAAAATAAAATCCGGTAAAAATTCTGTTAAAATTTTAAAAATACCAAATGTAGCCGTCATATTAGGGTCTAAACGACGACATGGACCTGCATAGGCAACTTTTCTCATAAGCCATTACAACATTCAAATGCGAAACTTGAAAAAATCGGTGAATAATGTAGCTAAAATCATCAATATAGAAAGATGCTATTTATATGGGGGCTATTAGAAGACGTGGACCTGCACAGACAATTTTCTGTCTTAGGTTGTAGTGTCCATTTGGAACTTCAAATACCAAATTTGAAACAATTCCGGTGAATAATGTCGCTAAAATCATCAAAATACCGAACATCGGGAGGTACCGTTATATGGGGGCTATACCAAAACGTGAACCTACATGGCCCATTTTCAATATCAAAAGTCCTGCAGACATAATATACATTTGAGTAAAATTTTATCAATCTACTTCATTTCGCTCGGAAGCTAGTGTGATTTCCATAGATGGACGGAACGCTTAATCGACATAGAATTTTATGCTGATCAAGAATATATGCACTTTGTGGGGTCTAAAATCTATATTTATACCCTCCAACGAATTTGGAAATTTTCAAAATGCAAAATACTGCTGTTAAAATCTTAAAAATACCGAATATAGCCGTTATATTGGGGTCTAAACGAAGACGCGGACCTGCATAGGCAACTTTTGTTACAATATTCAAATACGAAAATTGAAAGAAAAAAAAATCAATCCGATGTCATCATCAAATCATCAAAATACCGAATATAAAGATGTACCGTTATTTGGGGGCTGTATTATATCGTGGACCTATATAGACAATTATCTTCCAAAGGGTAAAGTACTCACATGGAACTCCTTGTGTGGATTTTCAGACAATTCCGTTGGAAAATATGGTTAAAATCATCAAAATACCGAATATCGGGGGTACCATTGTATGGGGGCTATTCGATACCGTAGAGCTTTATAGACAATTCCCTCCAGAGGGTATAGCAATCAAAATGAACTCCTTGTGTAGAATTTCAGACAATTCCATTGAAAAATGTATCTAAGGGAGCCGATTGGAGTTGGTTCTTCGCCAATAAATAAATGTTATTTTTATAATAGCAAAACATCAATGAATCCATTATTTACTCAGTTCCACTACATATATTTTAAAAAAAAATGGCATTCCTATTATTTTCTCATTTATTTATTTGTAGACAAAATATTTATTTTGTATTTTCTTCTTTACCTTGACATATAATTTATTTCCATTCCAAAAAAAACATTTTCCGGAAATTTCTTTCCAAATCCAATCCTATTATTAACAATAAAATTCGAAATTAATTAAGTACATCCTTAATCATTTGGTGCTTAACAATCGTTTATTTAAATTATAGGCTAGTAGAATATAATTCACAATACAATTGACAATGTATTCAACATTTGTCCGTCTGTATGCTTGTAAACGCAGATACATATATTTTTGTCTCAATAATACTCGGTCATTTATGTTCGGTTATAAAACAATGTAATGCGATAACAAACAAATGTATGTAATTAATGTCATTTCTCTCCCCGAATGCGTGATATACAAATTGTACATCGTGTTGATTTAGTGAACACATTCTACAAAACAACAATCATTTGTTCTTTTCTCATGTCGTGAAAATGTGGAATGTCTCATTTGTACTTTGTGTACCCACATGGCATTCATTTATGTCTATCAATACAAAATATACTTACAATGTAAATTCAAATATCCTGTACAGGTTATTACATAATACCAAGAAATGATATTTCATTATAGTCCACAATGTGTTAAATGAAAGCGAGTAAAGGAATGAGCAGAGTAAAGCAACTTTGAGTTACTGAGACCATTAAAGAACTAATTCTACACTATCAAAATTGTTATTTTGATTTGATTTTCTCGACAGTTTAAGGGTATAACGCATACATTTTGCGAAAGTTGTAATGTACAACTACATTTCAGTATTGAACAGTTTTCAACTGGCAAATAGCCCCAAATTGATGTTATTAACATTTTAAATTAGAGTGGCTTCAATATTTTCATTCATAACCCCGATTACCAATTCAAATTTTTCCAAAAGATTATTAACTAGTTTTAATGTTCTCATTCAGACTACTTCAAATTATTGTTCCGTGGCAGAATCTACAAAAACTACTTGTTTTGCATTTGTTCGATATCATATAAGAAAAATCAGTTGTCTTTCTAATATCTTGACATGCTTACAAGTTTCTGGCTATTTTAATATATGCCATGGAAACAGCAATAATCTAAATATCTTCAATCTTCATGTCTTCGGTTAAGAGACGTGTAAAGTTTCCCTGAGAGAAAATTTTTTAATGAAACTAATTTTTCTTTTCCGTAATATTAACCCGTCTTTTAAAAGATTTACATATCAGCCAGTGTGAACTCTACTATGTTTACTTTACTGCCATCTAGATGTGAATTCACATTTCGTTACAAATTAAACTCATTTCTTCGAATCACCCGGTTATTGCACTGTATTATTATATATCGAAAACAACTTAGCTACTCTCATGGTACAATAAGGAGGTAGAACGGCTTCCTAAAACTATGGAAATACAGCCCGGAGGCTTCCTGTCAGACTCATTCAAAATTATATGCAACGAGTTGTGTCCATTTTTTCATATTTTTCCCCACTTTTAAATGAGTTGAATAGCGCGAAAAATGAATGAAAAGGCTGGATTTTATTTCAAAAATATGATCCAAACTGTTCAATCTTTCAATTTCATGGCTAAACTGGTTAATAGCTTTAATGCGCGAGCCACAATGTGCATATCTTCCAATTATTGGTTTTGAAAATATTTAGTTTTCATTTTTCAAAACAACGAATACATACATAAAATTGGCAGAAGTCGGGCACACTTAGAAAAAAATTGTAATCACCTGGTAGGTCTACCTTACCTTTTTATTGTACCATGGCTACACTCAAATGTTGACATTTACAATCAATGTAAATTAGAACTAAATAAAGATAGGTAATGGAAAGCCTGCACCGTTTTGTTCAATGGCGTATAAACTACCTTACATTATTTTCATCTTTCCCTATTTTGTTCCACAATGTTTCAAATTTTGTAGCTAGTTCCGCGCTCGTTTAGTGAATGTTTTCAGTTTTCCTCATGTCTCATTCGTACACAACAGAGGTCCCTCGGGGATTTTGCTTTCTGTTTAGTTTTTATCAAATATTGCTTTTTGGCTTTTGTATTCGTTTCGTTGGGGACGACTTTAATTTTGGTTTCCCATTTGCAATTTTTTTCGATATCATAAAGGGAAAATCAGTTTTCATAGTAAAATCTTTTACATTCTTGCAGTTCTAGAACAGACCATAAGTTGAACAGTACACATTAGTTGAACTGGAATTTGAAATTGACTATGAATAGTCGAGTACTCGGTTTTCACCCAAGTCCATAGTCGAGTTCGAGTTACGGAACTTTGAGTACTAAAGGTCGATTATTCAATTAATCGGAAGTCGACTTACCTATCCCTGGAGCAGAGCACGAAGCCGATTGGCTCACAGCCGCCGCCGACTTTTTTTAAGTGATTTGAGCCGCCGTCATCCATCATCGATTAATAAACTTATTATTCCTTAAGTCGAATGCACACTATTGGACCTTAATTGACAGTATGCACTCGAATATTAGTGCTATGAATCTTAATTTGTTCATTTATTTTCTATTACAAAACCTTTGGGCACCTTTGTAACTTACGAATTTTGATGGAGTGGCAGCCATATGGCTTGCAAAGAAGTCAATGTGTTCATCAAAAATAGGAAAAGTTTTAACAACGAATTATAAAATGTGCCAAAGAAATATTGAAAACTATCGTTTTAAAGAATTGTGTTAAGGCAAAGAGAAGCAGTCTGCATCCCGCAATAGTAAAAAATACGATTGTTTGTTCATGATAACAAGGCGGCCATCGAACCATTTTTATCATTTTTCGAACCATTTTTATTGCTTAGTGTTATAAGCAACAAATGTACATATAAACGTATATTTCAATTTTTATTCTAAATTAAATGAATAGAAAGTTTTTAAACCAAACAAAATCATTTCTTAAAGTATTCGACTACAGCCGACTTTAAACCGCGGCCGTATATTACTTTAGCCGCTGCCGATGTTCTTTCGGCTTTTAGCCGCCACCGACTTTTTTGTGCTTAGCCGCCGCCGGGAACTTCACATCGGCTTCGGCCTCTGCCTTAGAGCTAAAATAAAATAAATATGTATATAGCGTTTGTTTATTAAATAAAAGTCGAAATTATCTACATTACAAATAGAAATATAATTTGTTTTGCATTGGTCTGCGGAGTGTTCGTATTACTTTCCCCAGAGTACAAAAAATAAGCACATAAAATGCCTGTGAAAAATGGTGGCGGCGAGTCTGATGGTGACGTCTCAGGTGGTGCGGAGTCAGAGCATTCCAATTCCAGCCAAGGTCACGAATCCAGCGATGAGGAAGCAAATGAAATTGACTCCGACGATTCATCCGAAATGGATGTTAATGAAATAGAAAGGAGGCGATCGGAATGTCTAGAAATCTTGGGTAGGTACCTCTTACAGACATACTGGGCAAACAGATAAAATAAAGGTTTTTACTCTCTTTCAGATCACTTGGAAAAGCAATTTAATCAGTTGCGCGAGCAATACTATACCGAACGTATTAACCAAATTGAACGCCAATCTGCTGAGGTGCGTAACGGGCGTTCAGAAGAGTACTTACAACCTCTTAAGGAATTAGACAAAGTCTATAAGAATCGTATAGAAGTGGCAGAAATATTGAGGCGATATCGTTTGGAAAATATAGAACATAAATTTCTCAGCGAAGAGCAAGCAGCTTTACAAAACTTTGAGGTAATCGAAAAATGCACTGAGAACGTTACGAATATCCTTCAAGACCAATATCTTTTGTTTTCTTATTAGAGTGAAAAACAGTTGGCTTTAGATCAAATTTACGATGACTTAATGGAGAAAATTAGACGTCTCGAAGAGGACAGACACAATGTGGATATTTCCTGGGATGACTGGGGTAATGACAAACGCCACAGCAAGGTTCGAGGGCCTGCCCGAAAGAAAGCAGTTACCGTTACGGGACCCTTCATTGTGTATATGCTACACGAAGAAGATATTTTAGAAGACTGGACTACTATAAGGAAAGCTCTAAAGCGCTCGACATTGCCAGGCCCTGTGTCAGCGGCCTCCGCGACATGACCCTAAACTCTTCATAGTATATAAACATTTACATATTTCCTGCTTCCTACATGCTTCGCCCAGAAGGGATCTTTATTTGGTTTCTAGTTGTAGTTTTTAAGTTTCAACAAATAAATCAATTTTCTAATTTTGCGGAAAATTTAAGAAATCAACAGGATTTTATTTTTTAAACAATTAATAGCCCTTCGATTTCAGATACTCTCTTACAACATCGACATAATCACCGTGTATGCGAATTTGTCCACTCATTTCGTTGACACGGGTGGCACACAGTTTACCATTACGTTCCTTTTCCACAATTGTTCTTAGTTCCTTTTCCAATTGCCAGACATTTCCTTGCACGTGTTTAACTACTGTCACTCTGCGCTGTCCCCTGAAGGTAGTTTCCAAATAAACTGGCACCATATGATTACGTGATCGCGCCACATAGTATTCCAATTTGTCCATATCCTTTAAGCCCATCGACTGTGGTTTCCAACCTGATGGATATTCCGATTTTTGGGCTACTTTAGGTATAACTGGCTTGGGCAGCAGGCGCTCTACATATTTCCATTCTGGAGGATTTCTCAATATTTCAACTTCTGGATATTCCTCCAAAGCCTGCACTTTATCCGATGAATTGTAACTCGAAAAACGTGTGGATACTGAAACCTGCAAATGGGTTGAAAGCTGAATGAATGCAAATGGAAAGATGTAACAGCAGCATACCCTCAAAGATTTGTTCACTACTTCTTTCAGTATTCTCTGCATCAGGGCCATTTTGAATAAATAGTTTAAATAATTTTATAAAGCTATTGGAATATTTTCCTTAAGTGATTACAAAAGAATTCTAAACACAGCCGGCGAACAGCTGTTTACATACGCCAATGCTGTTAACTTAAATAAATGCGGCGCTTATGTTATGGGAACGTCCAGTCTTGACACAGCGTACATTAAGTGTGTCTGTTTATTTCAATTTGGTAATAATTGTTACCAAATGTTAATGGATGATGTGTGTTTAATAGCATGTTCACACGATAAATTGAATGACGTTGTTTGCTCTCAGAATCACGTACACGAATTAACCCGTTCATACGGCACGATTCGTAATTCATAGTAAAATAATTCCTTTTTTTCAAAAATTTTGTTTGTTTAATTTAAATGGGAATTTATACGAAAATACATTAAATTCACACTAATATGAATAGAAGAATTATTGTTTTCCTCCCAAAGATTTATTATATCATTAATTTTACAATTTTCATTCATGTTTTCAACTTTTTGTGTAAATGTTGACATTTTGGACATATTTTAGTATTTTTCTATTTTCAAATTCTGCTGGAGAGACACTTGTTAAACTTTTTTTCTGCCGACACAAACATTTTGAAAATATTGCATCTTTTGTTTCCAGTTTTCTGTGGAAATTTCAACTCGTGGACAAAATGCGCACCTCGGATGAGAGGGAAAACAAAATGTACTTTCGTTTGAATGTTCATACGCCATTCAACATTGTAGTTTCATTCATAATTTTCAGTCTTCCCAAAAAATTTTAAAATTTCATTAAATTTTCCTATTTTTAATTTTTAAATGTCATAATTTATTTTTTCGATAAATGCTCTCATTTGTTAGGGATGGGACATATTTTTTCGTTGTTCTGAGAGTGATTTGATTTGAACAACGTACAAATATGAGTGTTCGCTCAGGAAATTTTGTGTGAAGAATTAGATAGTTTTTTCATAGTTAAAGGCCAAACAACGAATAGAGAGCGAATCAAGTGCAGTGGAAACGCCACATAACATGGTAATATTTAGAAGGTAAAGTCATGCAATTATATGTTTACAATAGTTGTGTTCCAGTACTTTTTTAGTAGTAAAACTAGCAGAAGAGAGAACAGTTCGAAATGTCATTCTCAATTAGGTGTGCTCAAAAAATAAGGGAACGGAAAATTAGCAGAAATGCGATAAAATGTCAAAATTCAAAATTCCAAGAGTAAACAGTCCAAATCGGACTGGTGAAACCATACTGAAACGGACGCCAAAATTTAAAAAATTAGTATTGAAGACGATACGTTAAAATTAATAATCTATAATAATAATTAATAATCTGATTCATCATTCAGCCAGTACTCTTCACTACTGGAATCATCCAAAAGTGCTCCATATTTTCTATTTTTGTTTTTTGCACTACAAATATTAGTTTTTCCTTTAGTTATTAAGTTGCTCTTTTTATTATTTTTGTTATGACGCGGGAACATTGAAATGTATCAATACATTTTTCAACCTTGTTAGCCCTGCCAATTAAATGTCAAATTCACAATTTGCACATTTCTGCTCGGCCAAATTCATGTAGCTAAAACAAGCAGAAATGTGCACCACTCAGCGCCATTTTTTTCTCGAGAGAGCTGCAAGTTTTGCTAGTTTTTGCAGTACGGGAACGCGTTGTAGAAGAATTAGTACTAATTAGTACTAATTTGTAGGTTCTGGAACACAACTAATTGTTTTCAAATTTGACAACATCTTGGCACACAAAATAAGAAATTGTTCAATTGCCAATGTTGAAAATGTTAAACTTTGAAATGTTGTAAGCCCGACGTTTTTGGGTAAATCTCATATAAATATTGGTCTGTTCCAGAACTGCAAGAATGTAAAACATTTGCATTAATCACATATCATAAAGGGAAAATCTGTTATCGTAGTAAAAACTTTTAGATTTTAGCAGTTTTGTAACAGACCACTAGTAAATATATTTAATATTTTATGGATACACTAGCTGGCCCGGTCCGCGTTGCCGGCCCGTAGTTTTAGTCTTTAATGCAAATTTTGCATAGCATAATATTTCACAAATCTAGCTCATAAAGGTGAACAAATCTATCTATATATATAAAAATCGATTGTTGTTTGTTGGTAACGGAATCAGTTGAAAACGGCTGGACCGATTTGCATAATTTTTTGTAAAAACTTTCGTCATACCCCGAGTTAGGTTTTTAAAGAAAAAAAAATATAGACCACGCCCACTTTTGCGCCCACAATTTTGATTTATCTAAAATACTTATATTTGCCAATATAGAGGAGATATCGGTTTGAAAATTATTGCACGAGATACTGTTGACTTTCCATCCCCCTCTAAGTATTTATTTGGGGCTGAGGAACTGTCGATGTCAGTACTTTTTAATCTATATCTATCTTATATATATATAAAAGATATAAAAGATTTTAACGATCAATACAAATTCGGAATTGTCTCCTCTCCGAAAAGGATAATATCCAAAAAAATCGCGTAAAAATGTGATATATAAACATTTTCATTTGGACTTTTGAAATGTACAATAGTAATGTTTTATTTTGCATGATTTTTTTCCATGTTGACTTATAGTACGTTTATATATATGAGGGTTAACCCATGGTACAATGATATCAAGGTAGGGCAATGATACCATATGATTTCAATTTTTTTATTTTCTTGGCTTAATATGTCATCTTTATTTGTTTATGTATGTGTTTTCTTTTCAATAACAAAAAAATTGTTCAGAAAATATTCAAATTCGGATGTTTTCAAAATGTTTATTTCATCGTATGCATCGACAAAATCTAGAGTTTTTGTAGCGAAATAATCCTTTAGAGATATATAGAACCTGGTTTTGAAAAGAAGTGTTGACCTTTCATTCAGTTTTCGCGGTTTTCAATTATTTATTCAAAATAAATTCAACAAGTTGTTTGATTTTGTTATTGTTTTGATACTATTTCTGACATTACAAGCCAAACAGGTAGACCTCTATACTTGCAATTTTTTCAAAGTTGACCTACCTTCTCTTCATTGTACCATGGGTTAACCCACTGGATTTGGATTTAAATTGTCATACCCATTACTTTTACTTCAAATAAATCCTCTCAAAGTAGGTTAACCCTACAAAAAGTTCTAACGTAAACATGGCATTACTTTTTTCTAATGTACATTTGTAGTGTTTTTTATACCCTCCACCAAAAAAGGTATGGAGGGTATATTAACTTTGTCATTCCGTTTGTAACTCATCGAAATAATCATTTTAGACCCAACAAAGTATATATATTCATGATTAGCGTAAAATTCTAAGACGATTTAGCCCTGTCCATCCGTCTGTCCGTCTGTTATAATCACGCTACAGTCTAAACGAATTAAGATAGGAAGCTAAAATTTTGCACAGATCTCTCTTTTGTCTGCAGGCAGGTCAAGTTCGAAGATGGGCTATATCGGTCCACGATATCGTATAGCCCCCATATAACGGTACCCCCGATAATCGGTATTTTGATGATGTTAGCCACATTTTTCAATGGAATTGTCTTAAAATCAACACAAGTGGTTCCTTGCGAGTAATTTACCCCCAGGTCCACGATATCGTACATCCCCCATATAACGGTACCCCCGATATTCGGTATTTTGATGATTTTACCCATATTTTTCAACGGAATTGTCTGAAAATCCACACAAGGAGTTCCTTGTGGGTACTTTATACCTCGGCAGAGAATTGTCCATACAGGTCCACGATATCGTATAGCCCCCATGTAACGGTACCCCCCGATATTCGGTATTTTGATGATTTTACCCACATTTTTCAACGGAATTGTCTGAAATTCCACAAAAGGAGTCCCTTGTGGGCAGTTTATCTCCTAAAAAAGAATTGTCTATATAGGTCCACGATATCGTATATCCCCCATATAACGGTACCACCCGATGTTCGGTATTTTATGATTTGACCCACATTTTTCATCGGAATTGCCTGAAAATTCACACAAGGAGTTCCTTGTGGGTACTTTATACCTCGGCAGAGAATCTATATCTATAAAAGAGGAAAATGTTTGTACGTTTGTTTGTTTGTTTGTTTGTTTGTTTGTTTGTTTGTAATTTATGGACTCGAAAACTGCTGAATAGATTTTTCTGAAAATTTCCATATATACTGCAACATCGCCTGAAAGTAACATAGGCTATATAAATTTTTGAATTTCCACTTGGAACTGGAGATATAGCATCAGAATCGGAGGTACCTCCCAAAAATTTAGATTTTATATGCACATATCTATTGATCGGTTAAAGATACAGTCTCCAAATTTGGAATGTGTAACGGAATTTGGAACAAAAATACGTTTGCTAAATTATATTGTAATCGGTTCAGATTTGGATATAGCTCCCATATATATTTTCGACCGATTTCGTTCATTTGATGCCTCAAACACAATATGAATGTTCGATTCCAATGAAATTTGGAATGTGTGACGGGATTTGATCCGAAAATAAATTTGTCAAATTATATTGAAATCGGTTCAGATTTGGATATAGCTCCCATATATATTTTCGGCCGATTTCAAGCATTTGATGCACCAAACACGCTATGTATCCCCAATTTCAATGAAATTTGAAACGTGTGATAGATTTTATCTAAAAAAATTTATTTCCCAAATTATATTGAAATCGGTTCAGATTTGGATATAGCTCCCATATACATTTTCGGCCGATTTCATGTGATTGGTGGACCAAACAAGATATGTATGTCTAAATTTAATGAAATTTAAAATAAGTAACGGAATCGGGAGCAAAAATGAATTTTTCAAATTATATTGAAATCGGTTCAGATTTGGATATAGCTCCCATATATATTTTCGACCGATTTCATGTATTTGATGCACCAAACGCGCTATGTATCTCTAATTTCAATTAAATTTGAAATGTGTAGCGGAAATTAAAACAAATATACATTTGTCAAATTATATTAAAATCGGTTCAGATTTGGATATAGCTCTCATATATATTTTCGACCGATTTCATGTATTTTATGCACCATACACGATATGTATGTTCGATTTCCAAGAATTTTGGAATATGTAACGGGATTTTGATTAGAAAATAAATTAGTCAAATT